GCTTTACGGCTCCAGCTTGTTACTGTACAGCTCCAGTTTATTACGGCGCGACTGCTTCCTGTCTGCACGCATGCGTTGGAAAGAGCCACCGGGCCTGGTTCTGAATACTGTTGTGAAATCGTAGAATCCCCGCTAAAGATGAGTCGTTCGATTGCCGTTTTCGGTTCAAGGAATTTGATCCGACCCTTTGAACAAGTCAGATAAAATACCGGTACACATCCGTTTATGAAGGTCGTAAAACTCCTTATTCAATGAGCTTCCGCTGTAACACTCGGTACACATTCGTTCTCGCAGTATTTGGAGGCTACCGGTCTCCGATAGCCATACAAATATCAAGATCGCAGAGCTGCTGGCAATACTCTATCACGGCCATCTGCTACCTATCCTCCGCCTCCATCCATGCAGCGCCATTGGCCACGTCGTCCGGCCGCTGAGCTCTCCTCTTCTTCAGCTGGTGTTGATACCAACGTCCGTGGCAGATCTGAGTCATTCAGCGATTCTTCGAGGCGCAACCTATTGTGCGCTTCGGTCTCGGAGGAAAATCTCACACCGCCAACGCCAGGATTGAGACCAGAGCTCTGCTTCGACCACGTCCGAACTCACTCTGGCGATTCGATAGCCGCAACTTCAGAGGAGCGGGAACGTGCAAAAAGGGAACGAGACGAGCGAACGTCCGCCCGTCCAAATGTTAAGCGCCAGGCCGTCAGCAAGTCGCCCACCGACGCGGCCTGACGCATTCCAAAAGTCGAGCCGCAACCCGCTCAACATGAGCCGCACGGCCGCCAACAAGACCACGGGCCATGCGCCGTCCACCTTGATGCTGGAACGGATGCACGAGGCGGCCTCGGACTTGGCCATCTTGGCCACCACCACACAGGGATGGCGGTTCGCTAACGAGCGCAATGGAGCGATGCTCTACGAAATGGCAGGCCGCAACCTGCCGCAGAACGTCACTACAGCCAGGAAATTCGGACGTGGAGCAGGCCACTCGTCCGACTACTATCTCGTCCGAGCAGTCACCACAGTACACACAGAGGTGGCCGCAATGCTGGATTTGTTGCATTCGTCTACAACCGACGAGTTCCGACTCGTCATGCGCCAGGTTTTCCAACAGTATTTTCAGAGCGGCGTCACATTGGACAAGTTGACGTGTACAACGCCACCGCCATTCGCTGAAGACCCGGATGCTGGCGTGGATGGGTCTAGACGCAGCTTCTCAGAGGATGACGCGTATTCGGTCAACTGGTTGACGCTCAAGGCACAGGCTAAGCTCGGAACTGTGGACAACCACCGAGATTTCACTCTTGTTTGCTACCAGGACGCGTTTTCTCGACACGAGTCGGGCGTGTTGGAACGTGTTGGACGTGGAACAGCACGTGCGAGATCCAACACGTCCAACTTCCAGCCACAGAGCAGACTGGTTGGCGTCCACGTATTGAGCAGCGTCAACTTCCAGGATGTACCGGAGCTGCCTATTCCCGAATGTACAGACCGACTGCACTTCCGGAATTCGGGATTCGTGGTGGAGGAGACGTCGGAGCCGAATGTGCTGAGGCTTTCTCTTCTGTTATCACTATTACCTACCAAATCGACACTTAAGTATGCTAGAAAGTACCAGCGATGGCTACAGACACTAGCGAGTTGTGTAGGCAACCTGGCACAGGTTTTGAGACCAGAGGTTACTCTGCATTGTCTGAGTAAGCTCACGTGGAAGCAGAGTGATCACTGTTTCATGTGTCTCAAGATGTTCCGCACCTTCCGTCGGTGTCATCACTGTCGGTTCTGTGGTGAGGCAGTGTGCGGAACGTGCTCCAGTATGGTCAACATGTCCGGATATGAGGTCACAGACGGTAGTGGCAACACGTTGGCTGCTAACAGTCTAGCGTCATCTCAACGTGGTGAGCCGAACGTCGACTTCAGCCAGACTGGAGATATCTGGACCAAGACGTCAGGGGATGGGATGGGAGGTACACGCAGCAGTAACACTCGTAACTTCCGAGAGGCTAGAGGCTGCAGTGCTTGTATCGCAGATCTCCGTCACGGTCTGACAGCCTCGGCTGTTGTGAGGATGCGACGGAATTCGGATTCGGGAAGCAACTTTAGTGGTGATAATCCGAACAATTACAGTGGCGAGAACCCGCTGTTGGCACGCTCGAGAACTGGACTGAGTGCCAGTAACGACGACGAGGAAGTTGTTTCGTATGACAGTTCGGATGAGGTCAACTATGAACGTCGTCTAGGCTCGATCGCGACGTATATTCCTTCGGAAGGTGGTCCGGGTGCGCTGGTGGAGGAGAATGGACCGTTCACTGCCAGTAGTCTGGGACTGGATGAACCGGTGGACGAATTCCCAGTCACGTCCGATGAACTGCAAGATACTTTCCCGGCCGTGGACGAACCGGCCCCGCCACGGTTCCGAACTGTGTCGGATCCGGATCAACTCCGTCGAATGCGTAATGTGTCGGATCCGGAGCTGCCACAGCGTCTTAAGGACAAGCACAGTATGGTATCCATGTCCACTGCCAGTAGCTCGTTCTCACGTTCATCAAACGATCGCTACACCAACGACAATGCGTCGCAGTATTCACGAGGCACCAACTTCTCGGCCATGTCGGACGGATTTTCAGCCTGTGATCTCTCTCGTGACCCAGATATCTTGGCTCTTGCTGGTCTGTCGATGAAAGCCAGACCGTCAGATGACTATGAGCCTGCTCCAATTCAGCGACCCCCATTGCCGAGCAGCAAGACGTACGAGATGACCAAACAGGTCATCGAAGAACCCGACAGAGAGGAGGAGACTGCTGTTAAGAAGGAAAACAACGAAGATGGTGCGTTCAACGGAAGAACCGTATCCACTCCATGGCCTGGCAGCAATGCTGAGTCTCGATACCGCAGCAATACAACCAGCTCACGCGACGATCTCTCAGTGCCTCAGCCAGACACGCTTCGGCCTGCTGATGTGCTTCGTCATCGCAGTCAAACTACTGCTGCTATGGGGTGGAATCCTGCCGCGACGGCTCCGTTATCTGCTTCGTCTTCAGCCAAGGATCTCAGCACGAAGCCTAACAATTTCGCTAGCTCCAGTATCAGACCCACAGCTGGACTTACTAAGTCGGAAGCACCGGACAGCAACGGCTTCCATTTCTCAAAGATGAACAGCCAACCTTCGGCTACATCGGCTGCGATCGTAGCAGCCGTGGCGGCCACATCAACCAACTCAGCACAGCAAGACCAGGCCACACCTAGCAACAAGATTTATATGACTTCGTCAGCTCGACGAGGTTCCGTCCCGAAGCCGATGCATCGACTGCCTCCCTCGGTTCCAGAGGACAGTCCAGCGTCGGGCCGCAACGACATGATCCCGTTGCCTCAGTCAGGCCAAGGACCTGCGAATTTTGTCGTGTTCTCGGACTCCAGACGCGAATCCATTTTCACGCGAGCGGCCGACGGTCAAGATATGATCCCGCTCGATTTTTAATGTTAGATATGAGGCCAGACGAAGTGCAAGTTGAAATGCTCGAACGAAGAGCTATTTATCATTGGAAAGTGTCGTGTTGCAATATAATGCTGTGTAGTGCAAGAGTTTGGGTTGTATTGTGAGTATCTTGCTACGACTACCGATAACTTACTTTTTTTTACTAGCTCTTTTCTAAGGTAGAGGGGCTAAAAGCTCGAAGTGGTGGCTCGCATACATTTGGCCGGCGACGACAAACTTAAGCCTTCTTTATATGTTCTCTCTAGTGCACTAGGTAGTAGGTGATTATCAATTTGACACAAGTTGTGCGACACAACATTAATAAAACCTAAAAATACGGGTTCTATCCAAGCTTACACCGTAGAGAACTTTCTCATCTCAAATGAGAACCTCTGCACTGTCTTACCAAAATTTCATGAGTGATACCATGCCGATGGCACAACTTTTTGTGCATGACTGAAGGACCTTCAGTGAAGACACGCTAGGGTGTCGTGATTCCGGATGGTATCATGGTAACCACATTACTTTTACGTTCAACTAGCACGATGGCATGTTCATGGTGTTGAAGACATGCTGCGAAATTTTAAAATCTTCGCTTCTGTTTTTTTATTTGTCAATTGGCAACCTGCACAAGGTGCCGACTATTGCATCTCGCAGCGTACTTTCAGCGATATAAACCCCATTTGGGATATTCAATGCAATCACGGGTTACTTAGTAATTCACAAAAAATTTACGTGGGTCAGAGGAATGCCACAGCAATTTCCTCGAACCACTGCCCAATCCACTAGTAGAGTCCTCCTTCTATTGCTCCTTTGGTTCATACTTCGAGAGAAATACTATAGCTCTGACCAATTACTCATTTGGTAGGTATTTGATGTAATTTTGCTGCTCCTATTATGGCTCGTTGATACTGCTAGGTAAGAAAAGAAATAACTATTGAATATGTTAATGTGCACGTTAAATAATGCGAACGGGATTGGTACATGTACAAGAAGCGAAAGCGTACTCTTCAACTAATTACTGGCATAGATAAATGTTCAAAGTATCTCGACTTTTTAAAGTTTTGTGCTCCCGCTGCTAATGGTAATATAAAAAAGATAACTTCGCTTTTCAACAAGGTGAAAGTCTCTAATCCCGGGATCGTGAGGAGACGCAAAGGTGTATCGAGCTAGACGAGAGAACCCACCTGCCTGACATGGTAGCAGTCTAGTTTCATATCACTTCGCTTTTTACCGCCTACCAACCAACCAAACAACTCTCCAATGACCCCTTCGCTAGTATCAACACTTGCAGTGGCTGCAACTCTGTCGTGTGCTGTTCTGTCAACCGACGCCCACCAAATCGTGCTGCAACCGGAGCCGCAATGGACGACGGACAACAAGGATATCAAGTATAACCCACTCGCTTTTCTCGAAGGTCAAGGTTTCCAAACTCAAGAGGACTTTAACGCTTGGCGTCGCGACAACGGATACAAGACTCTCCGTGACTTCATGGACAGAGCCAAGTACACGGTTACCGAAGGTGCCGATTACTTCTGTGGATGGACGGACCCCAAGGGTACTCCGCAGCCCATTCCAGCGGGTGGTGCCATGCGTTCAACCGGTTACACTCATGACGGACCATGCGAGGTGTGGCTGGATGATGTTCGTGTGTTGGAGGGTGGCAATTGCCACGAATCGATCCCTGGGAAGGACTACACCATCGACTACTCATCGTGCGAGAAGAAGGGTGGCTGCGTGCTACGCTGGTACTGGTTGGGTGTCCGCTTCCTCAAAAACTCGTACTCGTGGCAGGTGTACAAAGAGTGCATTCCACTCACAACCACGCCAAAGCGCCTGCGTGTGTAAAGAAAAAAAAATGTTGGCGTGTTAACTACGCTCGTTCACGCAGCATCACAAAGGGACGTTGCAGCGTTAAATTTCTTTTGCTTTCAATCAAAATAAAATCCCAGCAACTGTAGTTCTAATCTAACGCATCCTCCTACATATAATTATCTGTTTTGTATACATTAGTATACTACATTGGCATCCGACATGTACACTTTTCCTTTCACACTACATTCGCAATTTTCGCTCACGGACGTGGAAACGCGCTACACCAGCTTGAAGCCTGGAATTCAGGCAAGGTTTCCATGGCAAAGGCACTGTTCTCAGAAATCAGTTCGCTGCGTCTATGGCCAATGCAGCAGTGGCACTCATCTGCCGCAAACACTGTCACTTTGGGTTCAATTTCCGCGGCCAGTTCGTGCTCAGTAGTCATTCTGCAAAAAGCAACGGCGCTGGCAGGCTAACATTCACAAGATGGCTGGGGACACGTACACGCCAGTGGACGAACTGGTTGTGTGCGAAGAACCAGAGGAAGAAAAGGGAATCGACGAAAGCCACATCGACACCGTCGAGAAGTTCGACAACGATGGCATTTCTGGAAATGCGCTACAAGTTGCGTGTATGAACGACGATGTGGGTTCTGTCCAGGGTTTGGCACCGGGTGGGGCTGAGATCGACTCCAACGATGGAAATGACTACGCTGCATTGGTCTGCGCGGCGGAACAAGGACGTACGCAAAATGTCGAAAAGCTGCTGGAAAAAATGGGTGCATTCATCGACTTGGTCTACGATGATGGGTGGAGAGCTCTTTATTTTTACGTAGCTCTTATGCGTGCTACGGAAGAGGGGCATCCCGATATTGTTGAACTGGTGTTAGAGAACGGAGCAGAAGTCGACAAACATGGATCAAACGGAGTCACGGCGTTGATTCTAGCATGTCATAACGGGAACGTTCGTACAGTTCTATCGCTTCTCAAGCATGGAGCATCGGTAGATTTGGTCGATGAAGAAGGTGATAGTCCTCTTATGGTTGCAGCCGTCAAAGGACATCTGGATGTTGTGAAACTGTTGTTGGAAAACAGTGCGAGTATCGATTTGAGTAACAATAGCGGGTGGACAGCTCTGATGAAAGCTTGTTCAAAGGGCTACACTGACATTGTTGCGTCGCTGCTGGATAATACTGCATCCATTAACCAGTCAAACGCCTACGGGTGGACCGCTCTCCATCTTGCTTGTGAAAATGGACACCTTCACGTCGTAGAGTTGCTTCTGAATCGCGGAGCGGTAATGGCTACAGTTAATTGTGGTGGAGACAGCCCACTTATCACAGCAGCGGAGAATGGCTACACTGATCTGGTAGATTTCCTTTTAAAGCACGGCGCTTTTGTGGATTTGGTAAACTTCACTGGCTGGACTGCGCTTCAAAGTGCTGCAGAAAAGAACCACAAAGACGTAGTGGAAATATTACTGAAGAACGATTCTAACATCGACAAACAAGCCAGGGGCAGAAATACTGCACTTAGCGTCGCGTGTGAACATGGCTCCATTGACGTTGTTCGTCTCCTAGTCGAGCGAGGCGCGGACGTTGATTTAACTAACTCAGGTGAGGCTTCGCCACTCTTGATCGCTGCCGAGTGTGGCCATGAAGAAGTGGTGAGATTTCTAGCCGAACAGGGAGCGTCACTGGATCTACGGGAGGACGAAGACTGGACTGCATTGATGTTTGCTTGTAAGAATGACTACACTGGAGTTATAGCGGTGTTACTGGAGAACGGAGCAAGTATCGATCTGAAGCTTCCAAATGGGTTCAGCAGTCTGCACATTGCGTGCGAATATGGCAGTTTTGATGCTGTAAAGATCCTTATAGAGAGAGGTGCCTCCGTTAACGACATAGACGACGATGGCGACAGCCCCCTTTATACGGCCGCACTATATGGCCATGCAGACATCGTGAAGTTTCTTTTACACCATGGAGCGTCCACTAGTTTGGCGGATAATTCAGGCTGGACACCATTGATGAAAGCGAGTGAACAAGGCCAAGTAAAGGTGGTGAAGGCATTGCTGAAGACAAATTCAATTGAGAAGTTTATTGATATACAGCTACCCACAGGGGCCACAGCGTTAAATATCGCGTGCGAGTATGGAGAGATGGATATTGTAGTGGCTCTAGTGAATCGTGGAGCTTCTATTGAACTGGCTGATAATGAAGGATATACGCCATTGATCACGGCCGCACAGTTGGGATACTCGGATATTGTCCAGTTTCTCGTGAATAGAGGGGCTAATATGGATGCGCGTTTACCTAGTGGAGGTACGGCGTTAGTCACTGCGATTTGGTACAAACGCTTGGATGTCGTTCGGATTCTCTTGGATAATGGAGCGAATATCAATTTAGCGGGAGATTTTCAGAACTGGCCGCCACTGACGGTCGCGTATTTCAGCGGATATAGCGAAATGGTGCAGCTCATCTACGAGATCCTCCCAGCTGACAAGAAGCTGAGCTTCTTCGACACCGTTTCGGGGTTTTCATCAATCAAATTTTCTTCAGATATTCCTGAAGAATCTAAAGTGAATGTTGGGATCGACTACAAGCGTCGCAATGGTGACACTGCACTTCGAATTGCGTGTGAACGGGGAGATGTGAAGACAGTTGAGGCGCTTTTGAGCAACCCAAACAATGACATTAACGTCACAGACAAGAACGAGTGGACTCCACTAATGAGTGCCTGTTGGCAGGGCCACGTCAAAGTTGTGGAAGCTCTTTTAGCAAAAGGAGCAGATGTTAACAAACAGCCCCTTGATGGATTCAGTGCTCTTCACCAGGCTTGTGGATTCGGGGACATCACCGTCGTCCGACTTCTTCTTCACCATGGTGCTTGCATTGATCTCGTAGATCGGGACCTGAGCAGTCCATTGATTATTGCTGCTACAGAAGGACACGACGAGATAG